GTAGTAGTAGTAGTAGTAGTAGTAGTAGTAGTAGTAGTAGTATCATTATGGGTCTTCGTATTACTATGATCCGTATCACGACTCGTATGATTATAAGTACTACTATACATAGTCGTAGTAGTAATCGTATTGTTTATGTTCTCAGTAGTGATGGTATTGGTTAATTGCATGTCTTATGATTCGTCTGACTTGTCTTGCGATCTTTCTTATGAGTAAAATGATTCCTCCTCCTCCTCCTCCTCCTCCCCCTCCTCCTCCTCCACCTCCTCGTCCTCCTCCTCCTCGTCCGCGTCCTCGTCCTCGTCTTCGTCCTCCTCCTCCTCCTCCTCCTCCTCCCGTTCTCTCCTCCTCCTCCTCCTCCTCGTCTTCCTCCTCCTCCTCCTCCTCCTCCTCCTCCTCCGTCCCTCCGTCCTCCGTCCTCCGTCCTCCTTGCCCTCCTCCGCCTCCGCCTCCTCCTCCCCTCCTCCTCCTCCTCCTCCTATATATTTCCTCCTCCTCCTCCTCCTCCCCTTCCTCCCCCCCCCTCACTGCTCCTCCTCCTCCTCCTCCTCCTCCTCCTCGTCTTCCTCCTCCTCCTCCTCCTCCTCCTCCTCCTCCTCCTCTTCCTCCTCTCGGGAGCCGACTTCGAAAGAGCGACGACGACGACGCCGATCAGTGACCGACGACCGAGGGGCGCCAACGCGGACGACGACCGCCGACCGCCGAGCGCCCCAGAGCTCCGACGTCGTGACTTTGCATCACGTGGACCCCTAGAGGTTTGGAGTCCTACCCAGGACTGGCTTTCCATGCCGAGTCGTTCTCGGACAGCCCCAGGGCCGTCGTTTTCCTTTTGTTGCGACGCCTGGGTCCTGACACCCGCCGTTTTTTTTCATTGCGCGGCCCCAGCAATCCCGACCTCTTCCCAGGGACCAACTCTGCGTCCTGGATCTTTCTGTTGCTGGCCGTGGGGCCCGACGACAGGCCAAGGAAGGACGATCCATCGCGGGGCCGTCTGCTTTGAGCGAGCCAAGGTGGACGACGCCGCCCCGCGCCCCGCGCCCCCAGATGACGAGGCCGGCGCCGCCGTAAACCCACCCCCGGCGGCCCCGAGCCGCGGCCCGGGGCGGCGCGGCGCCGCCAGAGGCCGCGGCGCCCTGCCCCAGACGGAAGGCCGCGCGTGGGAGCGAACGGCGCGGCGCCTTCTGCGGGATGACGCCCCAGAGTCCCCCCCCAGACATGACCGCGTCGCCCCCCCCAAAAAAAAACAAGACGGGAGGTTTTCGGCTGTTTCCGGCCTCGGGGTGCCCTCGCCGGGCCTCGGGACCGTCAAGAGACGACTCGGGACGAAAAACCGGTCCCGGGGAAAGGGGCGGGACGTCCAGGGACGCCGTGCTTAAAAAATCAGGACGTCGCATGTCGGGGCCCAAGAGGCCCCAAAATTCCTCGCCAGAGGCCCCCGAGAGACTTCCGAAGAGACCCCAAGAAGCATCCCTGAGGACTCTGGCCCACGTCAGCGTCGTCGTCGTTGCCGCCGCCGCCGCCGTTGTCGTCGTCGCCGTCTTCCTTCAGGGTCGGCGGCACCCGCACCGTCGGACATCAGGATCCGAGGGAGGACCGACAACCGATGACCGACAGCGCCGACCCCGCCGACGCTGCGCGGCCGCCGGGGTCCTGCGGCGCCGCCTTTTCTCTGCAAGCAGTGTTTCCACCTGGGGGTGCTTACTCGGGTGACTGGGGAACGGGATGGGCATGTCGACAACTCGCCACATTGCCGCCCGTTGCCCCCTGTGGGGGTGCGCGGACGATTCGCGACGTTGCAATCCGTTGCCGCGTTAACGCCTCGTTGCCGCGTCGTTACCGCCTCGTGAGCTGCGTGGGCATGCCGAAGATTCGCCTCGTTACCGCCCGTTGCCGCCGGTCGGGGCATGAGGAGGATTCGCGACGTTGCCTCTCGTTGCCGCCCACTGCCGCCTGTGGGGGCATGCGAAGGATTATGCGCCACGTTGCCGCCCGTTGCCACCTCGTTGCCGCGTCGTTGCCGCCTCGAGCGTCGTGGGTATTCCGAGGATTCGCCAAGCTGCGGCCCGCTGCCGCCTGCGGGTGTGTGTGTGTGTGTCGAGGATTCGCCACGTGGCCGCCTCGTTGCCGCTGCACCACATGGCTTGCGCCTGGAAGGTGCAAACAACTACCCCCCGACGACTGCCTCTTGAAATCACTCACTCCTCGGGGCTCGCGCGGGCAAGCGTCATTTCGTCAGCGCGGCGTCAATCCGCGGCGCAAGCTGCGGTCTCGCGCCGCGGCGGTGGGCAGGGTGGGCGCGCGGGAGAAGGGGAGAGCGAGGGGGGCGAATGACGTGGGGGGGGAGGAGGAAGGGGGGGCCGGAAGGAGGAGGGCCGAGGGGAAGGATCGACCGTCACTGAAGGGCGTCGGGCAACAGCTTCGGGGAGAGGGGCGGGGCGAGGAGGGAGGGAGCGGGAGAGGGGGGCACGTGGCCCTGGCTCCCTCCTGCAGACACCACCCTGATCATCCGAATGCTGAGGTGCCCTGGAGGGGGAGGGGAGAAGGACCACAATGAACCCAGAGCGCAACAATGCGCCCTCCCGTCCCATGTCCCCTTCCCGCTGGTCCCTACAAGCGCTCCCTTTCACTGCTCGACACACCCCTGTTGAAGAGCACGCCATGGGCCCTCAAAACATCGAAACGCCCGCGGAGGATGAGAAGACGGAGGGGGCGAAGGGGATGGGGAGGAGGAGGAGGAGGAGGAGGAGGAGAAGGAGGAGGAGGAGC